ATTCTTCACTTTGACTAGATAGTGGTGAGGTGTGCTTTATCACGGATAAAAATTTGCCAATACCATTGAAAATCATTCCAAGATTTACTAAAGCTTCTGATTTAAGCAGTGCTACTTTTGCGCAGTAAAGTTGAGAATGAATGACATTTAAAGATATGTGGTCAATAATTGCAGCAAGTGGTAAAGCTAATAGATATAAATTTGCAGCAAAAAGCTGTTCAATCAAAAAGAAAAGGCAGTCACACATTGTTGCTGGATTGCTAGTAAATTTGTCGGCAAAAACATTTGTAAGCAACAGCAAGAATGATGGGGTGTAATTGGCATACTCCATATAGTTTGTAGGACGTGGAAGATTTGCTACAATCGGTGCAATATATAGATGTGCAGCAAACCAGACAAGTTCGGATCGCTTGTTTTGGTTATTGAAATAGTAGAATCGTGCAATTTTGGTAACAGCAGTGGCTGCCAGTAAGCAATTAAATTTCCCGTTTATAGATTCCAGTAGTTGATTTGCATTACGGTGTGTCCAGGAGCTGAAATTTCCAGCATGATCGATGCCAAGAATGGTTTTCCAAGACGAAAGGGCTTTATCCTTTTGAAACAAAGCGTCAATGCTTTTTGACCAAAATACGCATGCCCCAGAAATATTTCCATGTTCAAATAACAAGTCTCCGTGCTCATTTGCAGCGGCAGAAAATACCTCAAAGTTACTTTCCTTGTGTGATACTGAAATGGCCTTTTCATACGCGTTGGAGGCATCTGTAAACGTCTCGAATGAAACAGATCCACTTTTAATACTGCATATCTTTTGATACAAGTAGTTGGAATGTAACTGACGTGCATTAAATAACATGTTTTCTGAAGACCCCTTTTTTATGAGCTTGCTTGGCAAGGGTGACAATGAATTGTTGGCAGAAATAGTACATGTTGGGCTTGAAGTTTTAAGTCGTGCTTTTTCCAAAATAGGGTTCACAATTGAGCTATATATACCATTAAACAGCGTTTGAAATTTCTCACCAAACTCAAGAATACGATGAAACTTTCCAGAGGCATTCATGGTTTCCAATGTAAACAGAAAAAAGTCTGCAAAAAAAGCAAGATCAATGTAATGGGTCTGTAGTTCCCCGTACTGATCAATCCAATTGCATGTATAGAGTCCACGTTGTAAATCAATCAATGTTGTACAAGGAATAGCTGACTGAAAGGTGTTAGTACAAACAAACAGATTGGATGCACGTTGTGAGGTTTGGAATTTTTTATCATCTATATGGCAGATGGTCACTGAAGTCAAAGTATCCATCATTGCACACGCAGCAACATGCATCCCACGCCACAATGACTGTCTCCAGCTGTCCGACGCAAGCTTTCGGTAGCGAATAAGACTTTGTATTGCTTTCCAAAGATGCTTTGATGAATTCATTACTTTGAGCCATTTATGGTATCGAGCAGCCAAGACAATACTTTGAATAAATGCTTGTAATATATCAACAGTCAGATTGTTTAATCCAGAAAGCAATTCACCATCAGATCCGATAGGTATCATTTCATTGCGGTATATTGCAAAATTATTCAACAAGAGGCATCCACTTTGACGATATTCAAACCATCCCGAATCAAAAAAATCGTTAAGATCATGCAGGTTTGCTTTGAATGCAGTGTGATCTCGCTGAAGTTGCAGTATACCTATTTTTCCACGAAGAAAGGCGATTTCTGATCTATACAAAGATTCAAATTCCAAAATTGCTCTTAATCTTTGTAGATAGCGACGTCTATGCCACCATGCACCAAGACAATTATCCAGTACACGAGCAGCATGATCTTTTCTCTCGCGCTCGCTTGGAGATAGACCAATAAAAAAAGTATGTCGTTGCTGTAATCGTTTTCGCTTTAAAGCAAGTAGTCCAGTTTGATCAACTTCTTCTTTGCAAACATCTTCTTTGACAACACCATGTGGGCTCGCTGAGTTTGCACGTGAATTACTGGCTGATCTAGATGGTCGTGCGTTTCCTCCGTTGGTTTTAGAAGTAGGTTGAGCTTCGCGTGACGAGGGCCTTGTTTTTGAGCCCGATTCATTATTCTGTAACGCAGATGGGTTGGATTCATTAGAATCTGTTCCAGCTGATGTGGGTGGAACTATGCGACTCTTGGACCGCAAAGCATAATTTAAAGCATCGCTTGGCTCAGTAGTACGTGCAGGTGATGTGTTTGGTTGTTTGCTGGGATTAATAGATATTTCGTGCGCACCATTTTTTAGCGAGGGCAATACTCTTTCAACTGCATGCTCTTGATGTCCAATTTTTTTTTTGAGATGCTTTTCCTTGGAAACAGTATTATGGTCTTGTAGTCTACTACGATTCCATCGAGTGTTATAAATTCAATAAATCAGAGTGATCAGTAAAAATTATTGATGAAATTTGTAGATTTGTAAAACAATCGTCAGTTTGAACTTACCCAGTAGAGTCAGACTTGCTTTTTACCATAATTTCATAAATAGCATGTTTTTCAATACTAAATAAATGGCGCCTTCGTCGTTTTATCAAAACATCCTTGCTGCTTTCAGTATTTTCTGCCAACTGATCAATCAAAACAATAGTTTGATTTCTCTTGTCAATCCATTCTTCAACTTCTGTTCCTATTCGAAAAGCTGCGTCATAAAGTTCCTTTTCTACACACCATTGCATGATATTTGACACAATCTCAATGTATCGAGGGTTCTTTTTAAATCTCATTAGTTCTTGCATAGTTGCTTCAGGTCCGCATGTTGCAAATAAAATAAATATATCTTTTAAACAAGTATGCGTGTCCAGGCTTTTTCGATGCAATATCATGGGGCGTTTTGATGAAAGGTTTTCAGGATATGCAGGCCCTACTCGACTATCATGCAAATTAAACTGACTTTGATTGAGTTTTGAAACAAGCTGCGAATTTTGAGCCAGTGTAACCTCTAGATATTCGCTGAATATTTCAGACTTTTTACGAGACTGCGCTACACCTTTTTTGTTGTCCTTCAAAACCGCAACTTTTCCTTGGAATGCAAATTCTGAGTAGTAGTGTGATTTGGTATGGTTTCCTCCAAGTCGTTTGGGTTTAAAAGTGTGACCTAGCCACGCTTGTTCTATTGCAGCCGAGTTTGATATTTTTGTTTCTACCGCATGCTCAATCAACTGAACCAGTTGAAGTGATTCCTGAACAACCTTTACAATCAAGGGATAGTTGGCGCAGTTTTTTAACCCGTTTAGTAAATGATGAGTGACTGGAACAAAAAAGTATTCCAACACATTTGTGCAGTCCTCACGAGCATTTGGAATGTTTGCCATCAAGATCTCGTGGCAGTTCATTAAAACATGCTGAACAAAAGCACACTTTATATCAAACTGGATAAACGGCCAAAGGTTTTGATAAATTTTGAAGGCACAAAGCAGTTGAAGTTGACCATCACAAATATGCTTTGCCAATTCGACTGCCAACAAAAGATCGCGACAAGCACGAAGTCGGACTATTTGGTGCGAAATAGTGATTTCCTTTCCAAAAGCATTGGCAGTAAGGTGATGGTGTGATAGATCAATATGGCGATCAACATTCATAAATATACAGTTGATATATGAACGAATAACTGCTGAAGATGACTGGCGGAGCGAAAATTCAAACAATTCATAAGAGGGATTCTGATATATGCCATAATTATCAGGCGTTTCTAGTTGACATAAAGTGTTATCAGAGGAAACCGAACATAAAAAATGACTAGATAGTATTTCAAACGCAGAATCGGCAAGATCATAGTAGCGGGCTGTATGTGCAATCTCGGACAATGTAGTCCAACATAACAGTAATGGAAGTGGTAGTGATGCAATGACTTTAATTGAACGCGAGGTAATCTGGAATGACGAATCTGCTTGGTTCTTTTTATATATTGTCATTGAAATATTGTATGCCGTATTGGGCGACAGTTGACTGACTGTCATTTCAAGTTGTTGATTAAATATCTGAGCAAATAGCTCACCTGATCCAGGATACTCAGTACTACTTTTACCCAGATATTGGCCAGCAGCGCTTGCTTGAATTTTGATCCATACTGTGCCCGACTCTGATGAAGGATAAGGTCTATTAGGACTAATTGTAATTGAAGTTGGAGTTTTGCGTACCAATACTGGAGACCAATCTTTCTTGCTAGAACATGATGCATTTTCACACTTTAAAGTTTCAGATTCAATCAGATATGCTTGTTTGAGATTTTCCATGGCTTGTACCAGTAATTCACGTTTTTGATAAGTACTAATGTGCGATAATGTAGTTGCAAGAACTAAGAGGTATATTGCTCGACGGGAATGATCATGCCCACATGCCTTTGTTAAAATGGTGGTGGAGAGGGTTTTGAAGCCTGAAATGATAGTTTGTTTACTTTCTAATAATGACTTTTTTTGCATGGAGTTTTCAAGGGCACAACTTGACTGTTGATTTTGGAAATATTTGATTTTGCAACGATACATGCAGCTTAATAGTCCCACTTGAATATCGCACAGTCTTTTTCGAAGGGATAGCGTTTGTGGATTTTCTGAAAGACCAAAAGGATTACATTTAGACTCTTCCGCTTCAATATATCGTGATTGACCAGTATGGAATGAGGTATCCACAGTTGTCGAATAAATCAAATTGGAACCCTCGCCGGTTTGAATTCGAGCAGCATCAATACTGTTTACTCCACCCAAAAAAACGTACTCTGCATGTTTGTAGGATCCTATTGCCTCAAGTAATAGCCCCAGCTTACTACTGATGATTGCTGCTTCTTCATAATTAGTTATTAAAACCATGGATTGAAATACATGAATAAACTCTATTATAACGAGCAAAGAATCTAAACGCGACAATAGCTTGAAATGCAATGCATCATTTTCTGTACGTAGCTCTCGAACATATGGCTGTACAGCCAACCATAAGAGTGTCGATATCTTCACTAAAAGATTTGCATGCTGCTTTTGAGATTCGCGATCTTCAAGACACGCCAAGATAATACTGAAGCAGTTTACCACTTCGAAATGAAACTGGCGAGTTTTTTCCAAAGAAGATTTGAGCAAATTGCTTTTGGTGGTATAATTGAAGGTTTCATCTTGAAACATGACCTTTCTTTCCGAGTGCAGAACAGTCAAATATCGGGATATGGCTGATCGTAGTATCAGATCTTGTCCGTAAATATTTTGAAGGCGTGTGTTTTTTTCTAGAATTGGACACACCATTTTGATGATACAGTTCATTCGTTCCCATTGACGACTTTCAAAAAGAAACGAAATAAATTGAATAATATCATCCATGTGAAAGTCTTGTGCACGGTGTGCCTGGTGAAGAGTAGGAAAATCTGGAAGTTCAAAAAACTTTTCGTTCCAATAATCCATATCTTGTCCTGTTTGTACACTTTTAGTTGATTTGTATGTGGTGAATGTGACTATACTAAATGCCAAGCCAAGCAGCAAAGAAGTTGAGTAATTCGTGGCAGTCTGTTTGTTTTTTATGTGATCTTCTGTGTAGCATGTGTTCTTGGAAACATTCAAGTAGATTAGCGATTGTATTATGACTGAAAGTTTTAACCCGTCAGTAGGAATGGAATTGATCATATTCTTAATACTGTCAAGTAAAGCTACTTGTGGGTTAACAACATCATCATTGTCAATAGTCCGAATTTTCTTGGAAGCGCTTTTTCGGAACTTTAGTATTTCGGGCTCGCCTTCAGTTGAAGAAACATTGATTTGTTTATGTTTACCAAACTTATCTGCTGGAAGACTGTGTGTTGCATTGTTGCTTGTTCCGTTTGATTTATTTTCATCTGGAGTATCGTTCAACTTTTCGTTGTCGCTTGCACGCTTCCCTGCGTGTATGATTTGAAATCCGTTATTGAGTTGCTCAATCAAACCAAAACTACAATGATTATATGTAGAGCATTTTTGTTTTTCAATATCTACAAGCTTGAATAAACGCGCAAGTGATATTTTGGGATCATTGCAAATACTTTTGCGATTGCGATGAACATATGAGTTATACTCAAAAATATGCATACTGGTATTGGGTTGACTGCTTGCATAATTTGAAAACTCTTTACTTTTTGAATTCATATAGAAATCAGAAGGTAGAGCAGTAGATTCCAAATTGAAAGATTGAATACGGCCAAGTTCAAACAAACCAGCTTTCAAATCTTTCTCTGTAAAAACATCAACTGAGAAACTGTCAAGTTTTGGGGCTGAATGAAAGTCTACATTGTGCTGTACGTCTTGATCAGACATTTGAGTTGATGCTAATTGATTTAGATGCCAAGTAAATCTAAGCAATTTTAAATAATTAAGAAAGGTCCAATCGTTGCTTTGGGTAGAATTTGTTGGGTTTTCAGTGACAGTGCCCGAGATTTTGGAAATAGCTTGATTGATAACAAGCAACGCCTGATTGGTATTGTTGGTTTTGAGGTAGTATTTGAACAGGGTATTGTAGGATTCTATTTTCCACGAAATATGATGAATGGCATCAAATGTGGAATGTTCCTCGAGAGATTCAGTAATCCATTTTGCATGGTCAAGTATCTGTATAAATGAATCAAGATTAGTTTTATAGCTGACAGTTAAAATGCATTTTTTTGAAAAACTATATGATTTCTATACCTTTTCTGTCCATCCAGAGTTTGATAGTTCTTTGCACAAGTTGGAAATATGATATATACCAAGCCAATTACACCAAGACAAATCATTGTTTCCTTGTGTTTCCTTGCAAATACTTTTGAATTTTAAAATAATGTCAAGTATTTTGCAGGCAGAAGTGCAACTTTTCAGCCCAGGATCGATATCTACTACACTGATGAATTGAGCAATAAGAATTCCAAAAAGAGCACGATATTTCAGGCATTGAAATACGATACTTGCAGAAGCTGTTTCTGACGTGGTTGAACGAATAGCAGTAAGAAGAACCAATGAAAATTCTAAACAATCTTTACTGGCAATTTGATGAAGCTTGCTAATCTGTAACAATATCTCTCCAGTCACTATACATTTGGAGATATACACGCTTGGGTTGATGTGTTGCTTGAATTTTTGGAAACATGCCTGCAGCTGGGTCCTTACAAGACAGAGCTGAGAATTGTTTATATCGTAAAGTAAAGCAAGTGCTTTAATAGACTTGATGCAATGGTTCAGTTCACCTTCAAACATATTTAGCATGGATGTCTCGGATAAGCGGTCTGATACTGCTTCAAAATGGAATGGCACGACACCGTCATAGTCGAAAGATATCAACGGAAACTCCAGTTGGAGCTGTTTAGACAGCTTTAAAGTAAGATCCGCAACATTTTTTGAAGATTCCTTGGGTTGTTCCTGCATGAGCTATTTCAATATCTATTTCTTTGATAGGGGATGGCTAATACCCACTCTTGTGATAAGTATAGTTTGCTATAGAAATATATAAAGTAAAAGTAGAAAGGTATCAAGAGAATATCCAAAATATAGTAGTAGTTTTTGAATTAGTTGGCAGATAGAACTCGAGATAAACTACAAGTAACTAAAGTTGAAGCTGGATAGTAGTTGAACGCGTCAGATTTACAATTAGAATTGATAGATATAAAAACGCGGGAGAAAAGTAATTGGCTATAATCATATCCAGTGGAACGAAACTTTTGTATTTATACAGCAGTTTCTGTTTTTTGAATATAAACTGCTTGAATGTTCGTTTTACTTTTCTACTACAAAATTTCAGATACGGTTGCAATATAGTTTAACAAAACAATCCCAGCAATGCAACTATACATGTCAATCATCAGGAGACCAGCCAGCTAAACAATTCATATGCCACAAT